ACTGAAAACGTAGTGATTATCAGGCGGAGGTTCTGCTGCTCTCGGTGCGCTCGTCACTCGGCTTTAGTTTACGCTGTAAATATACACTCTAACAAGGTTTTACTTTTGCATAAAACTCATGACAAAGTCACATAAAAACATTTTATATAACACAAACGCGCGCACACACAGCTACCTTTACCGGCTGCTGTGTTAGCTTCCTGCTAGCTGTCCTCTGGAGGAGGTCTTTCCTCTCTCGTCTTGGCAGTAAAAGGGGATAAATGTTTGTAACCTCCGTCTTCTCATTTCTGATGCTGACTCTTGAATGTCCTCAGGTTAGAAATGCTGATTACAAATGCAAGCATGAGCTTTTAAAGATAAGTTTTCCCTACTATGATCCTCTGCTGTCACCTCCTCATCAAGAGGAAAATGGAGAAAAACTAACTACTCAATCGTACCTGCTGCTTAGTGGACACAACGACACACAACAGAACTCATGTTTTATACCAGTAGATCACAGATGCTTCAACTTTTGTGACTTTTTCACGGACTAGTACTAGCAGCTAACGCTAAAAACAAAGGCAGTAAGCAGGGAGTGGAAGGGAGGAGCGTGGCCAGAATTGTACTGGAAATACATCATTAATGACCGTGGCATATAGGCTATTACACAAGTTGTGTGTTCATAACTTAGATTATTTATTTACAAAGTGTGAAGTTTTTCTTTCTGCACTCAGTGTGTTTTAACTTTATATAACTTTACATTCAAAAAGACAAATCTAAAGAACTGTACCACAGGTTATCCACTGCACAGCAAAAACAAAACAAGTTCATTCGTGATCCAAATTCCCTATAAGAAAATGATCCTAGTGTGACAGGTGTCATGTTGCTTCATTAACAGTTGCAGAATATTTGTGTTGGTCAAATATGATCTCCTGACCGGTCAGAGCTGAACAAGTCTTCAGAGAGGCGGGGTCTTCATGTTTGGTGAGATCATTCTGTCATAATAAAGTGGATAAAAAGCTGTTTTCTGGTAACAGAGATACTAATCAGATAAAGACATGAAGGTTTTATTATGAAGGGAACAGGAAGAAGGACATGTTTTAGAGCTGGATCTGCTGCTGGATCAGCAGGTAATTTAATTACACCAGAGTTTGAGCTCTAACATTTACAGTGCAAACAGCCTTGTAAACACCTTTTAGTTGTGAAGCACAATCTTTAAATAGACAGGCTTTTTTCTTTTTTGCAGCCTCAACAGCCTTTTGTTTAATAAATATCTTTTTTTGCTTTTACCCTGGGTCAGTTAAATTCAGTTTATTTATATATATCCAAGTCCCAACATACGTTGTCTCAGGACACTGTAGATAAAAAGAACAATGTAAAGAAGAAAGCAGCAGATTGTGCTGAATCACTTCATCACAGTCTCCCATCCTGAGCAAACGGTGGAGAGGAAAAACTCCCTGCTAATCAGGAAGAAACCTCCAGCAGAACCAGGCTCAGGACTGGAGACCATCTGCCTCGACCGGCTGCTTGGAGGACAGGAAAGAGACACAGTGCTGGACTGGCCATCGGGCATAGCGGGCACCTGCCTGGTGGGCCGTGGTGATTTTGGGCCGGGCGGTCCTGTCATGAACCAAAAAAAAAATTATAGCAAATTTTTTGTCGATCGCGACGGCCCATTGGTTGATTTCTTGATCGATATTGAGCTAATCCAATGAAATCTCTCAGCACTCCTTGGCCGGCCCGGCCAGCCCCTCCCCTCTAGACCAAAGTTATAAATATTGCCATTCGAGCTGGTCGGAGCAGAGTTGGAGAGAAGTAGGAAGAACTGGACAAAACACGCTGAGAAGCTGCGGAAAATGGAGAAAAGTCTCCAAGTGTACGCAGCAAAGTGCGCAAAAATAACCTTTCCCATATCAAGCCCAAAAGTGTCTGACCCACCATATACTGTATATGTTAATTTAAACCGGGAAGGAGAAAATAATAAACACAGCTTGGAGCAGCCAGTCGGTACTGTATGTGCTGAGTTTTCCTGATAATAAAAAAACCATAGAGATTGTGTTTAAACTCCTCCCACCTCCCACCTCCACCGCTTCTGCCGGAGTTAGAATGAAGCTCAGCAAGCGGACATGTCAGATGTTAGCTAAACCTGCACAGTTCAAGTTAAATTAATAATAATATAAACTCCTGGACCTTCTGGACACGTTTAGAGACTCTGGCTTCAAGTTTCTGTTAACTGCAGCTTCTCTACAGCCTCACCAGTGAGTTTAAAACAAACACATTGTATCTGTATGTAAAACAAGCTGTTCATAATTTATTTTCTAAACATGATGTCCCAGTGGCTTTCAAACCACAAAACACATTACGGCAAAGGCTGGTTCACCCCAAAGATCCGGTGCCCCGGCACAAACAGAGCAATGTTGTATATGCTGTTAAGTGCCAGGA